TGAGAAAAACACATATGTGTGTGGTGTTGAACTCCCAGTAAGGCTCAGGTACTAACCAATTAAGATGCACACTGGCCAGTATGCTGGCTGGGAATCCCTGCCTGCTGGTTATCAGCCTCATCTTCAGGGGTATGTCAAATAGTGCTGTGAATGCCTATCTCTGGGTGTTCCAGCTAGTAATTAATATGTAGAACTTATGGAATGTTTTATTTCCAAGAGACACTTATTAAGGTAAATTTATATTAAGTAGGCCCGGTAAAAAAGAGGGGAAATTACAAAAAAAAAAAGATAGGAATCTTCTGAGAAATATAGCTATTTAATCATAACACTTATGATACTTGTATCAAACATTAAAGTTTGTCCTTGAAGTGACCTAGAAATCTAGAGGAGAAAAATATCAAGCTGTGCTTTTCTCAAAAGAAAACTGTTTGCCTTATCTTTGGGTTGAGAGAGATATTTTTTAATGATATGGACTTCTCAATAATTTTTTAGGATATTGACAAATAAAAATAGTCGCTAACTATTTTTATATAGTTATAAAATCAACACAGAGCTTGGTTTCCTTCAGCAAAGCTGGGCGAAGATTTACGCCCCACCTCTGTCCAAGCAATGTCCAGTGAAGTCCCAGAGGGAGTGCTTGTGCTCTTGCTTTGGCCTCTTGACCTCCTAAGCCTTTCCACCTCTTTATGGTAAAAGCCAAACTATGAGTGGCTTCCATTGCTGCAACAGAGTCCAGCTATAATCACCCAAACCAGCCTGAAAGGTCCCCCAGTAACACTAGGGAAGTACAAATGTTTATTTTTAAGCAAATTATCTTTTTTTTTTCTGGTTTTATCAAAAAGCTTTGGTAAAGTTTGGTGTTAAACCATATGTAAATATAGTAACCTCTGAAGGATTTGGCAAAGGATTTTTTTTTTTTTTTTTAACATAGACACAGATTTGCTTAGACAAAAACTGATTCTAAAAGCTCCCAAAAGTCCAGTATGAAGGATAAGGTCACATAGAGCAACATACACTGATGAGGAGTCTGAAACAGACTATGCAGGTGCCTCAAAAAAATGTCTTTCTTCATAATGTGTGTTCCTCATGCTGAGAGAGGTGTTGAAAGGCAGGTGTTTTTTGGAGAGAGAAATTTTGAGACTGACTTGACCAATCCCATATACAATCTGAATTTTTCTTCAATTTGTTTTCTCAATACAATCTTCTTCAGGCTGAGAGCTGTTTTTCCCTCCAATGCTAAGGGTTTCTATTTCAGAACCTCTTATTAGTGTCTTGTGGTGTCTATGAGTGAGGTGGGTCACAGTGGGCACTCTACATGACATCATCTAGATTCGTGCTGGGTATCCAGTAGTGTTTCACCCATATCATGACTGTAAATAGAAATTGAGACTGGAGCACTGATCCATTCCCATGAGTGCTAAATTGCAGTCCCACCCAAGAACCCTGCAGGTCCTTCTCCTGCAGCCCGGCCTCCATGACCCTGGTCATTTGGTTGGATATGCGACCAGCGGGAAAGAGAGTCTAAGTACATTATTTATATGTTTTGCAATGTGCTTTATAAGTTTTTTTAATAACAGTAATATGATATTAAGATAAAATTCAGGTCCATTTTGCTTTCTTCCTCAACTACCTTCCTCTACTATTCTCCCAAGGGACAACCCGTGGTAGTATCCTGCAGTACATAATTCTATTTATTACATTTATATGTATCCATCTTCAATATATACAGTGTTTTTTAAATTTAAAATAATTTGTATCCTACCATTCAAATATTTCTGCAACCTGTTTTTTTCCTCTCCCAGTTTTTTCTAAAACTGCTATTTTAATGTCCTTGGGAATATAATGTCCTTTATTTTTCATTCTCCTTCTGATGGATTTTAGATTGTTCCCAACTTTTTTGTAGCTGTCTCCTGTGCCCATATTTGCAAGTTTCTCTGGAGGAGAACTTCCTAGGTCATGAGGGATGTAAATTTTTAGCTTTAATGTATTGTTAATTTGATATCAAAATAGTTAACTTTATTTTCATTCTGACTGGTAGAATATGAAAATTCCTATTTTCTACATCTTTTTCAACCACACATATTGCCAGGTTAAACATTTTGTAGATAATCAGAGGGATATAAGGAGGTATCTAATTTAATTTATATTTCTCTAAGTGTAGTGAGGAGGAGCATATTTTTTGTGACTTTTGGTAATTTTGTTCTCCTTTTCTGTTTCCTATTCATATTTTTTGCCCATTTTTTTAAAAATTGGGGAGTTTGTTTTGTTGCTTATTAATTTTATTCTTTGTGTATCTTAGATATTTTGATAATGCATATTACAAATATCTTCTAGTCTGTGGTTTGTTTTTTAATAAAATTTTTAAGTTAAGCTTTAATTTTTATGTCATTTAAAAATTATAAGCAAATTTATAAATCTTACCATTTATTATTCATGCTTTCTGTCTTGTTTTAAGAAATTCTGCTTAACTCAAGATCATGAAGATAATCTGTATATTTTCTTCTAATAGTATAAAAGTTTTTATTCACATATTTCTATCCTTTCTATAACTTATCTGTGAATAGAGTTTTAGGTTAAGATCTCATTTTATTTATTTGCATATAGGAAGCCAATTTTTTCAATACTGCAATTTTACAATGGAAATAACTTTCTGATTATACAAATAATTCATGATCATTGCTAAAATTCAAAGAATTATTTAAAATATGAAGAAATACATTACAAGTCACCTGAAATCCTACTGCGCTGAGTTACCACTGATATTTTCAATATCATTTGTCAATAGTCTGTCCTTTCTCCACTTGTTTGTAATATCTCTTCTGTCATACAAAGAGACTTTTCTAGCACTCAGACAAACTTAGAGAATTAATTTTAAATCTGGTTATAATTTATAGAATTCGAAGCATTAACTTTAAGGAGTTTCAAGTTAGGGTATATCAGGCAAGGGCCTGATTTCATTAAGCAGTGTAAATAAGTAAAAAGAATAAAAAGAAACATTAATTGAGAAATAAGGTTTCCCAGGAATAGCCAGTTCTTCTATGGGTTGGGAATATGAGAACTAAGAACTGCAAATTTATGAAACTGAGGCACAGTTCTCTTAGGATCCCATTCAGCATGCCAGGTTCACTTTGCTAAATGTTTTCAAATGATGACCGTTGACATTTCCGCTAACAAATAACTTACCTTTAATTTTTTCACAGAAGTACACAAGGAGAAACAGAACCAATTCCTAGAAAAGCATTGTCTAACTCACTTTGATAAAGTATGAATACAGTAGTCCCCCCTCATTTGCAGTTTCGCTTTCCGTGGTTTCAGTTACCTGTTGTCAACTATGTTTTGAAAATATTAAATGCAAAGTTCCAGAAATAAACATTAAGTGTTAAATTATGTGCCATTCTGAGCAGCATAATGAAATGTCACAAGTCCCAGGATATAACTCTGTCCTGTCCAGGATATGACTCATCCCATTGTCCAGCGTATCTATGCTATATAAGGTCCCCGCTGGTTAGTCACTTAGTAGCTATCTTGGTTATCAGATGGACTGCTGCTATATCACAGTGCTGTGCCCGAGTAATCCTTATTTTACTTAATAATGGCCCCAAAGCACAAGAGTAGTGATGTTGGCAATTTGGATACGCCAAAGAGAAGCCATTAAGTGCTTCTTTTAAGTGAAAACGTGTGTACAGTATATTAATATATTTTGAGAGACGGAAAGACCACATTCACCTAATTTTTATACAGTAGATTGTTGTAATTGTTTCATTTTATTATTAATTGTTGTTAATCTCTTACTGTGACTCATTTATAAATTAAACTTTATCATAAGAGTGTACGAGTAGAGTTCAGTACTATCCGCAGTTTCAGGCATCCGCTGGGGATCTTGGAACGTGTTCCCCGCAGATAAGGGGGGACTCCTGTACCTGCCTCACTCTGTTTTGGAGGGTCTATGGAAAGAAGTCATTTATCATGTTTCACTACCATCGAGAAACAGGTGATCATATTTTTCTTCTTCATACACAAATATCATCCTTCGGTATCTTAATACTTGTTATTTTTCATGAAACTCATATATAAATTCCTCTAGGGTACATTAAAAATACATCTGATTTGTGAATTAAAAAATCATTAATACATATAGACCATGCCTATCAGCACATAGGATGAAAAGAGTCCTTATGTTTTCTGTCTTTGGGTCCATTTAATGTCAAGTGAACATTAATGAAGTTACTCAGCTTTTATACAGATAGACATTCTAACAATATATATGGCATGGATTTTTGCAGATGTATTCAGTCATTATTCATTTCTGTTGCAAAGTGGTTTAAAATGTTTTAAACTATTAGAATATTACGTGTAGAGTTTAGTTATAAAAGAGATTTGGAAAAGCTACATAAGTATTAAGTTCCTGATCCCAAATACAGCCATATAGAGAGGTTAAAAAATAAAATACCTCTCTTATTATTTACCTTGTCTGTTCTATATCTTCCCCCTTTTGCTGCAGTGTTGAAGCAGACTGGCAGCAAAGAAAACAACAACCCAAAGCATAGCCAGTGTGTTAGCAGGACTGGGCTCCTAGTCCTCCTGACTTGTGAGTTTGTGTTGACTCGGGTGAATCAGAACGACTTCTTTCCAAGGCCTGTGCAGTGGAGCCAGACACAGACAAGTTCCAAGTTCTTCCTGACCATGTGCTGCCTTAACACACAGGGGGCATTTGCTGCTTAACCCAGGCTGCTCAACTGCTCTATTGGTCTAACAAGGTGAGTTTGGAAAGCTATTTCCCTTGAGGACACTCCTAAAGACAAAGAAAAGAGGAAATTGCCTATATGTGTGTTTCTGAGACAACTTCAAGGGGTTTTTAGCGGGCAAAAAATTTCCAGTGTGTGGTTTTTTTTTTGTCTCATCTGAAATACACTGTGGTTTCTGACTAGCCTGGTGCTGTTACTCCAATCATTTTACCTGACCTCTTTTTCAAACAGGCGTAAGACAAGACTGAGCTCATACTTTCATGAAAGGCACTCTGCCACCTAAGCAGAACTAACGCTGTTAGAAGAGCATGCAAATTGTAATTTAAAAAAATCCATAAGCCAGCAGTTTCTTTTGACCACAGTGGTTTTTTTCCTCCTGCTCATTCTGCTGAAGCAGCGGCATTGGTGTGCACTGCAAGGCTTTAGCTTTCTGTTCTAATTTGCTGTTCTTCTGATGAGAATTGTGTATTTGGGGATGTTTTGTTTGGCGTGTTAAGTGTTGTACATCCAGCTGGATTTTAAATTTCTGAATACATGCACCCCTCCCTTCTTTATTTATCTTTTTTCTTCCATAGGATCTGATATGGAATTTATACTGTGGGTGCTTGATTACTGAATGTTGAGTGAATGTGTGGTTGAATATGTGAGTGACCGAACAAATATTTCCAGTTTCCTATTTTCCAAACTAAACAGTGCAAACTGGATGGGATCCATTTCAATCCTTGAGGAGAATCTGTAGCAATGCAGAAACAAAAAGATGAGAATTAAAACCCAACAGAATGAGGCAGGAGCTAGAGTTCATTACTCCCATAGTGGTTTTGATTATGTAGATGAATGTATGTAGCAGGGTATATATATTTATGTGTATGTATGTATATACAATATGTATTATTTAATTAACCACATATTTATACAATTATTTATATAGTTATATGTATGTCTATACATATGTGTATTTGTGTGTGTATATATATGTACATATATAAACATTTTTTTGAGAATGTGCACCAAAGTTACTCCTAGAGAATTATCTTTGTTTAGAAAAATACCTTGATTATCCACTTGTTAGGGGGTAAATAAGGCCCTGGGGCCATGGATGGAAAATATAAGGGAGTAAAGTCATAGCTAAACCTATCTGAATCTAAACATCAGTAGGAACTTGGGAATGGGGGTACAACAGTCAAGAGAGCAGAAGGGAGAGAGTTTAAAGAGAGAGAAATAAGATTCCACAAGGCTTTGCTTGAGAAAATTGTTTTGGGGGGTAAATCAACAAAAAGAAGCTGAATTCCATGTCTGGGTTGGCCCAGAGCGGAAAAAAAGACAACAGTGTACGTGGACTGCAAGGGGATTTGGCAAGTGCAGGACTTTGGAACTAGAAGTGAACATGAGTCTGTAAAATCTCAAGAATTAACAAGTAATTCAGGGAGATAATTAGACTTCTCACAGAGCTTGGGTAGATGCTCAAGCAAATTTTTATTAATTCTTAAAAGGTGCTGCTACCTCAACTTATGAGGTAGCTTAAAACTTCCTTCAAACCAGGCTTAGGGTGAGTGATTGAGAAACTTTCTCTTCATTTCAACAAATCACTCTCATGAATGATCTTCTTAAATCCCAGAGTTATTAGACAAAACAAAAGCAAGAAAATAAACATATAACTGATCCCGCAACCTCTTTCAGGGGTTGTTAACAATAGATATTTGAACTGGGGAGACCAAGTTAGCGGCTCTAGTCCCAATTCCGGTGCTAAATCTGAGCAGGTGTAACACTCCACACAGAATGTTTCTAACTCGGGCTTGTGCATTACAGGCCTTGCGGTAGCAATGTGGGGAGCATGGGGCACCAATGGGGCAAACTGTGAAAATACATCAGGTTAGTCAATATGTTCACAACCCGGTATTAAAGTCTTTTTACCTTAATTCCCAGGGCTATTTTAGTTAATATATTAAAATAGAAAGGTAGTTGTTATACTTGTATGATATAGATGGTTATTGTTCCGGTTTTACCAATAAGAGGACTGTGACATAAGCTTGCTCAGCACCACCAGAGCAGGATTCTGAGTTGGGAATTATGATTTCCTGAGTTGGGGTTGGTTCACTGGACACCATTGTTCTTCTCTACAAAGGGTTTATTGTGAAATGTTTACAATAGCACTTTTAGGAAGAGTTCAATGTCTATTTCTATCTTGGTAAAAATGCGGGTGAATCTATATAAGGGGTGGTAGAGTTTGCTGGCAGAAGGGAGAAAGGAATTAACACTTGCTGGGTTCTTACCATGAGTCCAGCATCAGGACCCCTTACCTACAGTATCTGCACTTGCCTAAAGATAAAGCAGCAGTGACAAACTCTCTGGGGTGATGTAATGTTCAATACCTTAATGAGATGGGTACACAAAGATGTGCATTTGTCAAAGGCTTCATTTGGTACACTGAATATTTCGGCATTTCATTCTTTTAAAATTTTACCTCACAAGAAAAAGAACTGTAAACAGATATTGAATGCTAGTTAATGATATAGCTACTAGAGTGTTTAGTTATGAAATGTTCTTATGTCTAAACTTACTTTTAAATGCATCTGAAAAATAAGATAGATTGGTGGATGGATAGAAGGCTGGTTAGATGGATCGATACATGATAAAGCAGGTATAGCATGATGTTAATTGTAGAATCTAGGCGATAGATACATGGTATTTGTGGTACAATACTTTAAACTTTTCTATATGGTTGAAAATTTTCATAATTAAGTATTAGAAAAAAAGTAATGTAATCAGTTTGTACCAATCTGGCTACTATAGAAAGTTCAGAAATTTGAGTGCTCTAATATCAAATATTCCAGTCAGGCCCACTTTATAGCTATGTGGGTAAAAGGTCCTCCTTGAAAGTAAAGAAAGATACCAGCTACTTCTAGTTGAAACTGCATTTCTAATATGTAGTGCTCTCTTCTTTGAACCACTGCCAAGTGCTTTTCCAAGATGCAGGTTATGGTCCTCATCTTATCTGCCTATCGGCAGCATTTGTATCTTTAGCCACTTCCTTTTCAGGAAGCTTCTCTTCTCTGCCTGGTTAGATACCACACTCTCCTGCTTTTCATCCTACCCCTCTGGAGGCCCCTTCTCCAGCTCCTTTACCTACTTTTTAGATATAGAAGCTCCTTTGGGCTGAGTTCTGGGCCTTCCTTTCTTTTCCTTGTGCTCTTTCTCATCAGGTTTTAATGCCACCTCCAGGATTTCTCAAAGCCATGGCTCCAGTGTAATCCTTTCCTTTCAGCAATGAACCCTTAAATCCAAATGCCTTCCTTGCATCTCCACTTGAACATCTCCCACACACCTCATCCCTATTAAGCCCATATCTTACCTCATGAGCACCCCTTTCCCCAGTTACCAGACCCGCTCCTCTCCCCTTTCCACTCTCAGTGGATGACAGCCCCACATCCTTTTCCCTCACTCTTTAGATGCTTGCTATTCAACCCCAAGTCGGGCGTGTGTCTCTCCCTTCACCTCCCCACCACCATCCTACTGCAATGGCCATCTCTTCCCAGACTAGTCAGTACCTGTGAGCCAGTGTCCCACCGTGACCTTCACTCCATTCTAATCTAAGTGAAGCTGCCGATGTCATCTTTTTAAAATGTTAAGTCTGATTCCATATCTTCTCTACTCAAAACTTATCAGTGGCTTGCCACTGTTGTTGGGGTAAAATACAAAAGGTCCCCATGCTGGGGCCCCTGCCTGCCTCTCTGTTCCTCCCACCACCTCCTTTGCTCGCCCCACTGGGGAGCTTCTGTTCCTCCAACAAACGAAGCATTTTCCTAACTCAGGGCTGTTGTACAGGGCATTCCCTCTTCTTGGAACATTTCCTGAAATCTTTCCTAGTAAATTCCTACTCACTAAACTTAAATAACGCTTCTTGAGAGAAGCTTCCTGACATACCTCTCCCCACCTAAATTATGTCTCACTCTGTTATTGACTCTGATATAGGACTTTACTTTTGTCTTACGGTGGAATTAGTGATTATGTGTTTGTCTGTGTGCTTATTTTGTTCATGTCTGTCTCCCCGGCCAGACTTTAAACTCAGTGTGGGCTGGGAGCCTGTCTGCTGTGCTCACCTCTGCATATGCGGCACCTGACACAAGTCCCTGGCACTCAGGATGTGGTCAATATGTACTTATCAGTTGAATAAACACATGACTGTGCCTCAGGGAGATGCAGTTTGAAAGGTGATGGACAATGTCACAAATCAGTATGGCATCAGGATTCAGCATCAGCAGGCCCTATATAGTCTTCCCCATAGGTGTCAGGAAGAACTCATTCAACATTGGGTGTGAGCATGATGGGCACACACAGCCTGTTCTGAATTATTCCTGTCCCTCCTCCTGGCTCACTCCTCACATGCAGGCGAAGAAAAAGCAAGAAAGAGCACCCAATACTTTACACGTGTGCCAAAAGGACTTCCCAGAATCACATGGTTCTTCCCAGCTCTGTAACTTAGTAGGTATACGACCTCATGTGGAGAATTTTATCTTAGAAGCTTGATGTGCTCCACTTTATTAGAAGTACAAAATGAGCTAATACAAGGGAAAGTGCTTCTTATGCTCTAAACCTATGGACCACCACATAGATGTGGGTTACTGTGTAGCTTGAAGTATAGTAAAATATGATTTTGCTGTTTTAACAATGAAAGGTACAATTACCAGTTGTCTTACTAATTGTTTTACAGTAAGAATAATGAAAAACTTGATATGCTTTCCATTTAAAAAAGGATACTTAATTATAGATAAGAATATGGCGGAAATGGCCTAATAAATATTATTTCCTAAATCAGCAATTCATGGTCAAAGTTAACCTACACAGCACTTAAATCATGTGAGCACTCAATTGACCTGTTAGTAATAACTTTCTAGGTTATGCCATACTAAAATCCAAGATTTCCTCATAGTTATATATTGTTTTTATAGCAAAAACATCTTTATTTTCCTGTTTGTAAAAGTAATATGTACTCACAAAAATTCAAATGACATTCA